TAGGATCTGGAACCAAATTCCAAGAGAAGTGGTGCTGGCTCCTGCCCTGGGGGTCTTAAGACGAGGCTGGATGAACACCTTGCTAGGGTCGTTTGACCCCAGTACTTTTTCCTGCCAGGGCAGGGGGTCAGACTTGATGATCTGCTCAGGTCCCTGCCGACCCGACCAACTACGAAACTGTTCCTACACCAGGGTGTGATGCATGACAGTCTCCCCACAGTTCAAAGCTTGCTGTAGCTTGGGACTCTGAAAAGTGGTGCCAAAGGATAGGTTTTGGGTTCTACACCAAAAAAAAAAAAAAAAAAATATTAAAAAATTCCAGTTGTTGTAGATTAAATAATTGTTCTTTCTTCTTCAATACTGCTATTGTGAATCACACTGTTTAGTAGAGCTGTGCGAAGCTTCAGTAAGCCAATTCAATTCAGAGGAGGTTCAGCCCCATTTGGTGGCCAAATCTCCTTATCTGAATAGAATCAGGAGACCCGTTAATCTCTCCAGTGCTGGTGGGAGCAGCCGGGGGAGCCTCGGCTTGAGCTGGCAGCCCCAGGAGAAGCCGTGGCTCATCTGGCTGCTCCCTCAGCTTCCCTCCTGCCGGGGCGAGGCAGGCAGTGCTGGCAACTCGGGGACAAGCTGCGGGGGCTGAGGGGAATGACTGAGAGCAGAGGGATCAAACTGGGAACTGGGGGGGAATGATAGGGGGCTGGGAGAATGAACCAGGGCTTCCCCCCAGCTCCTGGTTCACCAGTTCCTGGTTTGATCCCCTAGCTCCCCAACCATTCCCCCCAGCCCCAGCTTTTTGGGGGAGGGCACCATATAAATAAATATTTTCAGGTTAATTGTCCAAGTATTTTAATTAAATAGCAGGAACATATACCCTACATTTAGCCCATTTAAGACCTCCTCCTCAACTATGGAGCTGCTACCAAGAATCTCCATAGTTAAATATATGCATCACTATGTTTTTACAGTAGCAAGTGAGATTTTTAAAGAAAAATAAGGGAAATTATCTCAGTAAAAGTTTTGGAATATAAAATAATGTAATGTTAATTCTGTTATTATTACTAGAATGACTTACATTATTTTAGACTGCCATAGAGTATAGACTTAAAGTTCATACTTAAAAATAAGTAAAAATCAGACAAACACAAACTGCTGAAGACTGTAAAAGTGATTTTATACACTGTAATATCTCAAAGTCTTAAAGCTGCCTGCCCAATACACAGCCATATATCAAATACACAGCCATATATATTTTAAACAAAATTATAGTTACACTTGCCTTAGTGGTAGAGGCGATGATACAGGCTGACTAAGAATCAGGTTATCGTGGGGTGATAGCTAAAAAAAAAAAAAAGATTTTTGTATATACATTTTTGTGGACATTAGAAATACTAAATATTAAAAATATACTAAATGTTAAAAAGGTTAAATGACATTAAAAATTCACACTGAATATTAATACCTTCTTACATTTTAATATTTTACTTATAAGATTTAGGAGACACTCTTCCTTTTCTTGCAACAGAAAGTTGTCTGTCATCATCTTACATACCGAGAAGGAGTGATTAAAATATTATATACCCACAGCACATCTAGATTAGGGTCTGTCAACCGTCCAAAATGAAGCCTTTAATATTTTAGGTAAACAATGACCTAGAGCCCAGACGTTCCTTCCATCACAAGATTGTAAAATAACACTTTCTACAGAAGATAAGGCCAGATTCTTGGCTGATGTTAAAACAGTTCAGCTCAACCGGATCTAGTCTAAGACGCTACTCTACAAATCATCTTTCCAAAGGTTTCTTCAACAATGAATCAAGAGCACCTGTTTCCAGGAGAAGCATGCAGGGTCATACCTGGAAGGGATGCAGCAGGACTGGGCACTCCTGCTCTTCAGAGGTGGGCTACATGCTCCTGCTGCAACCCTGTTCAGTCCGGCTCTGCAAGAGGCACACGGGGCAGTTCCCCCCGGCAGCAGAGGTAATGGTGGTGACACTCTGGTTGAGAACCACTGAGGTAGGCTGAGACAGCACAACAGTGGTTCTCAACTGGGGTGCCACCAAATTTAAAAAGTTATGGAGTGGTGCCCTGAATCGAAAAACATTGAGAATCACTGTTCTACTCACTCAGAGTTTTCCCCTAAGTCTGTAGCTGTCACGGGAAGTCCTAAGACCAAGTCACCAAGGACCAAATACCATTCTGAAACTTGGTCAGAACCAAAGGATTTGAGTTCAATCATTTTGGATACACGGCTATTAAACTGACTCATCTGTTCTTAGGTCTGGATTTTTAACTATTTTCTCTATCCTGATTGCCTCCTGATGAACAAGAGAAACAACCTAACTGGGTTTAATAAGCTTTAAAATAGCTCCCTCATGAAATCCTCAACTAACAAGATTTTGTTTTTACCCCTGCCAATACTGCATGCGGTTGAAGAGAAGATACAATTTGAATTGGCGATCAACCCAATCCAAGTGATTATGCCACTTTTACATTGTGGAGCTTGGAGAGATTACCTTGCATGAATGGACAGCAAGGGTCACATATTTGATAAATTGTGCCTCTAGTGAATGTGCATTGATTCTACAGATTTCAGTGGCAACTATACACAAGCAGACAGCAAAGTAAGGTACATTGAGGGGAAACAAGTGGCCACAAAGAATTTATTAATACCCCAGATCTAGCTTAAAAATCCCACCCAGTTTCAGTTGATTGCAATACATAGAAGAAAATACTTTCAGGAGCTATTGTGGCTTCACAGAGATCCTCCAGCTTTTACTCTCAATTGTGACATAGCTGTCCCCACCCAAAGTCAGTTTTGCTTATTCCTTATAATGCTTTGGAAAACGCAAACTAAACTAGTGGGCTAAAATCAGTTCTTTGCAAATTCTTTGTGAATCTGGATATAAAAAGTTTTTTGTTTGGATATTAACATGTACATTATATTTTCACACAGACAAAGCCTTACCTTGACATATGCCATAGTTAAATAAGAAAGAATTTACACATACCTGAACTAAAATTCTGGGTCTCTGAGGGGATGGAAAAGGAACTTTGTGCATAAAATGGGAAATGTGTCTAAAGAAAAAGAAAATACTGACTTTAATACAAATGGATAGTTTGGGAAATACACTATATTGCCTCCACTATGAAGAGTGATTATATAAAAATAATCTATTTGCTCAGAAGACTGGATCCCTATGTACATTCAGCCATATTTGTGCTTTTATTCAGTTACTAATGCAAGCTTTTGCCATTTATAGTTCTAAACAGGAGAAGTAAAAGTTGCCAGCCAGGACAAAATAAAACAGGTTCTTCTTACCCCAGTGCAGTACCAAACCAATGTGACTACGCTGCTGTTGGCTCTGGAGCCAGCCGGTGCAGAGCTAGGTCAGGTCACTCTGTACTGCAATATGGCCTTCATCATGCAGATGATAGTCCATGAGCAAGCACATTTATCACTAGCTTGAGGCATTGCTGCCCAGCACTGTATTACGTCATTTAGACATACCATGACCGTGAAGATGCTGGGTATTTGGACACTTTGGAAATGTACATGATCATTTTAATTCCTTTTTGTACGTCAACACAACTGGCTGCTAAAAATCCTCAACAAAGAAACGTACAGTCAAGTCAACCACTCTGTTACTCATGTGCAGGCCCAGTGAAAGCAGTGGAACAGCATCATCCCAAAGGACACAATTTGGCCACGGGAACCTGTACTGGTAGCAAGGTGACAGAAAACAAGGTTCTCTCCCACAGCCCATGTTAGGTTTACCAGGCTGGCAATGACACAAATTATCCTCCTATTTCTATCTTTTTAACTATTAATCTTGAATCCCACCATGTCACTTTAGTTATCTCTTGTCAGAAACTGGGGGAACTCAGCATCATAACCAGATAAATGGAGCCCCATGCTAACAGCATTTGCAAATGATGGGTAGCACAGTAACGTTAGGGAGACCAATGTCAATGTATTTCTATTCACGGCCAGCTTCTAAGACACGAATTATACATAAAGATCAGTGACAAAAATATTTTCAGATACCTGAAATGATCTTTGATTCTAAAGATAGAAGACAAAAGCTTCTTCCCATGCAGCACCTTAAATTCCCAATGTCTTACTTATCAATAAGTTTAATATAAAATATTATTATTTATAGAATAATAATATCTAAAGAGTAATGTCTGTAATCTTCATTCAAACTACAGACATTACTCTTTAAATACAGACATGTATATCAGATTTTACAAACCTAAGGATTAGTCTCACTTGTGACAATCCAATTCAGATAACACGCTGCGAAAGGTAAGACTATCAATATAAAATCCAACCTGATTTATCATCTCTAAACACACACATAATAAATATTTGAAAAGTACAAAAATACATGTACCATTTTCAGCTTTATTTCTTCTCTATCTGATAATATGATAAAGAGCTTATAATCTTACCTCTAAGCAAAACGTTAAAAAAAATCCTGAGATCAGGCTGGCAATTTTAAAAAGAACTGAACTGCTTAAGTGGCATATACAGAAGGGATGAAACACACTTCTCTAATAATCTGGGCCTTTTTTTTTTTTTTTTTTTTTTTTTTAAAGAGAAACAAAATTTATCCCCGCTGGAGGAATGAGCATCTGATTCACTATAACAGCAGCACAATTAAGAAATGAAACATAAATCACTTTGATATGTCAAAGCATCACACTCATCTATCAAAGTAATATGGAGAGCTTGCAATCTGAATTTCTTTGAAATAACTTACTTCTCAATAGGCAAGACATGTGGGCCAGAGATGGAATAACGATATAGGAACGTCAGAAACTTCTTGAAAGCATCAAAAAAAGGCCAATGAGAAAGAAGACATATACACTTGTTAGTCTGAACTGTTTTGGAGCTATCCAGCTTCCCATCTCCAGTCGTCATTAACCCCAACTGAGATTTCTGTTTTTCTGTGAGATTCTCCTCAGGATATGCTTCATAGAACTGAATAGCAGCACCATATACCTGCAAACAATAACGTATTTCATGTATTTGTCTAAACCTTTAAATAATAAATTGAAAGTTATACGCAAATCTATATTCTGCAGTGTTAAATTACACGTACTGCATCTTTTAAATAATGTCTTTAAAATATTCTTGCAGTCACAATAAACCTCACCCTCTAAATATTTTTAAACCATAAAGCCCCATGTAAAAGGGAAGTTAGGATAAGTGTTCTTAATGCAGATGAGGAAGTAATGCTGTTGTGCTCAGCTGATATTTCAGGTATTTGGGGGCTATTCTGTAAGCAGTTCAAGATATTAGCCCTCCTCTATGCCACTTCACATTATGCCAACAGTATATGCATGGGCATAACGAGGCTGTAATTTGGATGCTTACTGTACAAAAGTCCTAGCTACTTGTATGTAAACTCACTTTATTGCTTGAAACCACAGACCTAGAAGAAAGTATAGTACTGGTAACTGAAAAAAAGCAGGAGGGAGGGAATTTTGTTTTATCTGAGCCAAAGCCAACTGAGGTCAATGCAAAGACTCATCCTTGACGAACAGGCTCTGGATCAAGCCCAAGCTTGACCCATCTGTGGGAATACCTTTCATCATCACTCTTAACAAATGTCAAGCTGTGCGACCAAGTGCTCTACCGCTACTGATAAGGGGAGTCTGTGTTTGTAACCTTGTTGTTTTTGTAAACATTAAACACTGAAGCTTACAAAAAAGAAATACCTAATACTAATGGTTATGGTTTTACAAGTACCTTTGCTGCTGAAGCTCCAGTTAATACAAATGTAGAAAATATGGGAAGTGGGTATTTGCTATTAGGAGGCCAGCATTCAATCGTTGCACCCATGGGTAAGCAAAAGAGAGGCACAGATTCTGGTAATGGGAAGGACTCATAGTCTTCTTCAGGATACCGGCATATTAAACCTATTAAAGCAATTTTTAAAAAGACAGTTACATTCCAACACAAGAACTGGGTGCTCATATTAACCCATTTCCTAAACTAATGTGCATTAGATATATATTAATAGGCATTAACTATATTCAAACTCATGTTCTTGTTAAGAGATTGAATAGTTTCAAAACACACGGCCTAGTACAAGACAAGTTAACAGCACAAACCCAGATAACTATAGGTCATCACTTGACTAAAACATGGCACAAACTAGGAAGTACTTGATTTTCTAGGTACTGCTCAGAAACATTTATTAATTTCTCCTTTTCCAAATCTAAATTACTTAACACTTAACTAAATACCAGTAAACAAACATTTTATTTAATTTCAAATCCTTAAAGAAAAATTGAACTTAATAAGTCAAGGTCTTAACAAGTCATTAACTGAAAATTATAAGAAAAAATTAAACTGCTAATAGGATTTAACTATATTTAAAAATATTAGAAAAAGTAAAGTAATCTCCTCTCTAGCAAACTGATTTTCCAATGAAAAATTTGGTAATGAATTAAAAAAAAAAAAAGCATGAATAGTACTTATATAAAATGACAAAATTAAAAAGCCAGAGAGATCTTTAAAAGATGTTAATTGGCATAGTATTCACTGACCTGGATGAAGTTATGCTGATTTACATCAGCTGATAATGGTTTTAAATTTAATCAGACTTTTTTTTTTTTCCCTAGTTACAGTTTTTATGGGAGCAGCACCATCAGCCAAATAGAAATGCGTTAAGACATGAATACAAATACATTTAGAATTCAGGTCTGTAGAGTCAAGCACTCAACACCGATACTAAATGAGGATGCTTAAATACTATCACAGCAGGCTTTTATTGTGGGAAAGGGAGGGCGGGAGGCATAAATCTTGCCCCCAACCAGAGAAAAAAAGAACTGAAGATTCAAAATCCAGGATAATTTAAAAGCCAGTTTCACTTTCAGAGCACTACATAAGGCTCTTCTATATCCTCAACCATTTGTCTGCAGCAATGGAAATATGAAGATGTATTTCAGAATTCAGCTAATTTATTCTGATAGCGTCTGTTTTTTTTCTTTAGTCTTTGGTGTATGCATTCAGGGCTGCAACAATAGAATGGATGCATGACTAAACTGAGAAATCAACTCTTTTTCATTATCTAAAATTACAAGGTTATTAAAAACTGTCAAGGGTGAAATCCTGGACTCAGAGAAGTCAGTGGGAGTTTTGCCATGGACTTCAATAGTGCCAAGATTTCAACCCAAAAGGTAATTACAGAGACTGTGCCATATTCTGCATCAGACATGGCAAGCAGTAGTAAGAGCATCTGAAAGCTCCACAGTGAAATCATATAAGAAACTGAGCCTATCTATATTTAATGCAAACTTAAGAATGAAAGAGTATTTTAGACAATTCTAGGGAGTAGTCTGGGTATGTTCTTTCATTAGAAAGTTCTTTGGGTTAAGATTTACTTTAGTTTTCTGTCTCATACAATAGCAACTAAATAAATAGTTCTAGAGAAAAATCTGTATCAAGATGACATTAAAAGTGAGCATATGTACTGATAATTGAAATTCAAGAGTACTTACCAGCTTTATATGATATGGTATTAGTTTTTGCCACAGACTTTTTATAACATAAGTATACTGCTGAGCCCCACTGTAAAAAAAGAATACACTCTTATATTCTTATAGACCAACTTGACAAGGTGTAATAATAGGGTGTGAAATACAGAAAAACATGCGAGGGAAGAACACTCCACAACGCTTACCTTGTACAACAGAGCTATACCCCAGGCACAAAACATTTATCATTTGAGATCAGAAACAAGGTTCACCTAATTCAGTATTCTGTTTCGGACAGCAGATGTTTCAGAGAAGTGGTTAGAACCGCACAGCAGACAGATGTGGGATAATCTGATTCCCGACTTACGGGCACGGACAATTACACCAACTGAAATGGTGGGGGATGTGTCATGTCCCAGGCTGCTCCATGTGTCTACTCTATCGCATTGTAAGTGGAAGCTCAACAGCGGTAATGTAGCAGCTGTTGGACGCTGTTGTAAGCTGCCCCAGTTTAGAGTGCTTATTGCACGACAGGAGCAGACACACCAGAGTTGCAACAAATTAGACCAGTGGTGCCCAAACCTTTTGCCCTGTGGACTGGATGAGCAGTTCCAGGTTGGTCTGCGGACCCATCCCACTGCACAGCAACTACCTGTCCATGACCCAATGCCAGCATGTGGGGCTAACCAGGCAAGGGCTGATCCAATTGTGATGAGCTTGGAAATTCAGCGGTGGAGGAGCGATGACAGTGGTGGGGGAGTGGGAGCGTTAAATTGCCACTACTCCCCCACTGCCAAATTTCTGGACCCCTGGAGAGTGCCATGGGTTGGATGACACTGGTCCATAGGTGGGAACTGTCTCTATGGGCTGAGAGTTGAGCACACCTGAATTAGATAATACTTGCTCAGAAGGGGACAGTCACCCTGCCACCCCCCTCCAAGAAAGAGTAATTCTGTTTGTCCAAGACTCAAGTCTTATCCTAATCTCTAAAACTGAAATTTGTTTAAATCCTGAAACATGACGTTTGGTATTTCCTTTTTTTTTTTTTAAACATTAACTATAAAACCCTGGGTATCCTTGTTATCCATATAAATGTCCAATCCCTTTTTGCATCTCATTAAACTCTTGGATGCAATCCTGTTATTTTACTCACCCATGTAGCCAGGCTGATTTTAATGGTAACAACTCCTGTGAGTTGGTGTAAAAAGATTTGACCCATAAAATAATAGATTTTACTCTGCTACCATTCCCACTTCAAATTACACTGATGTCTAATCTTTTCCTGTATTCAACCACTTAACTTATAATTTCACACTCTGTGAAACATCTTAAATGCAACACGTCAAACAATTTTGCAATTGGCTCACTGTTCGATGATGATACGACTTTGAAAAAAGAATTAGAATTTTTCATTTAAAAGAAAATGCTTTCTTATTCCAACTCCAAACGGGCATGGAAAAATAAGAAAAATGGGAAGTGGCCCAGAAGAGAAGAGAAAGACACACTAATGAGTGCACATGAGAGACAGGGAATCTTTCAGGGGTGGGAGAAAAAGGCAGCAGTTTGCAGGTTACTTCACTGGACATTTACAGCAGATACAACGACTCTTGTAGGACTGAAGAAACAATTGAATAATTGCATGCTCTTGAATAAATATCAAGGCATATGACAGGACTGAATTTTAAAATGGACATAAAGCAACTTAATAAGAAAAAAAATAAATGTGTTTAAAAATCTATATTGTGAAAATTGAGAGATTAATTAGACAACAGACTAGTAATAACATTTGTTTTACTTCAGTTTCTTGTATATGATAGCATTTGTGTATAGAGTCATTATTTTAACTCTGCTCATATGAGATTTTTTTCCCCCCTAAAGAATGGAAGAGAAACTTTTTTTTTTTTTTTTAATTTTTTTTTAAAGGAAGACTAGTTGCAAATCACAAAAACTGAGAACGGACTTGGGAAACTAACTTTACACTCAGCTTTTGAGACTGGCTAGATTTCAAATGGATTATGTTCCTTTAATGCCAAGTAGGCATGTTTTAAAACATTTTGCTTGATCAGGCATGGTCATTTTATCATGGGACATAGGAAGTCTCAATCTACTCCTAAATGCTAGCTGTCATCTTTCTTGTTACAGCTGAATTTGGCTGTATTTAAGATCTGTAATGTTGTCCCTGCAAGATGAGCACTTGTAATTTGCATACTTCAGCTGAGGAAACTACAGCTCATTTCCTACATCAGGAGAAAGTACTGCCTGACACAGATGAGTAACCAATTCTTTCACAGGCAGTTGCTTCTAACCGTTCCCTTCCTGTTGTACCAGCACATAAACAGACCAGGGCAACTACAGATCAATGTGACGCACAGCAGAACACACTTATGGATGAAAGGTTTCTGATGTTTGGCATATGAAACCCCCACTTTAGTCTGCCTGCCTACTCTGTATGCCCATGCAACAGGCTTTCACGAATCGTTTTGTTCTGGATACAACTTTTGAAAGCCTGGCCACAGCATTCCCTCTTCACCATGAGGATGAGATACAGCACAAAATGGAAACAAATATATTTTCTCCTACGCATGTGCTAAAGCAGGGGTTGGCAAAATGCGGCACAGGGGCTGGATGCGGCCTGCCAGGCCATTCTATCCGACCTGCGGGGCCCCTAAAAAAAAATTTAGAAAATTAATATTTATCTGCCCCTGGCCGCCTGTCACGAGGCCCTCGATGGCTTGCTGAAACTCAGTAAGCGGCCCTCCGCCCAAAATAATTGCCCACCCCTGTGCTAGAGGCTGTTTCTATACTGCTTGCTGGAGACTCCTTCGATTGAAGTGAATGACAGCAAATGCACTGATTTCACTGGGAGCAGGATTAGGCCTTAACCGTCAATCGACATAAAGTCGTTGACAGTTCTCCACCCATGGGAAGAGGGGGATCCTTTTAATGACCATAAGCCCAAATTAAAATAGTGAAACCAGCAGCATAGGGACATAGCAGATGCAGAAGGCAAACAATCTGCTCAAATCATTACCTTAAGGTCCTAACAAGCAGCTAGCTATTCACCCTTCCAAACCGCTGGGTTAAGAGCTGCTAGCTTACAAGAGTCATTTGACACCACAGCTGCCCCCAAAAGGATCAAAATGCAGCTGATTGAGAATACACATCTGCAACATTATGCAATAAATAAATTCAACTTTTAAAGAGACTCTGTCAATGTGATAAGGTCCAGAATGACAATTTTTTTCTTCTTGTTCTGCACAGTCCATGAAAATGCTCTCTCTCCCCCCATTACTGCCTCTCTGCTCCAAAACACATACCATGCAGGAGGTTGCTCCAAACCTAACATTGTTATAGATACTACAATGTCAAGAGCTATCTTTTCAGATATTCAGATCTTGATCATCACTGGGATATCAGAGTGCTTTGCGAAACAGCACAACAAGAAATAAGGATAACTCAACAGTACCATAAACACATAATGCCAGTAAAATAAAAAAAATGTATGCAACTACTTAGCAAGAGTAATGAATACAGGAGGAGAAGGCTTACTATGTCTTGAAATGTCCCAAATCCACTACTTGCGTTGTTATATCATTTTTTTTTTTTTTTTTTTTTAATTAAAAAGGTCTTGAAATATGGCCAATTGGGAAAAATAAGTCAAATTTAATTTCAAATAGAGGTGTGGCGGGCCAGTAGGGGGCGCTCCTGCGTTGAGCCGCCCTGGAAGGTGGTCGGGAGCAGAGGAGGTGGGGGGCTCAACGCAGGAGCGCCCCCGCAGCCTATTGCTAAGCCAGCGGCAAAACCAGAAGTGCACCTCCGCCAGCACTTCTGGTTTCGTGGCCAACGCTTCCAGGGGGTGCATGGCTGATCTTAGGGGGTACATGTGTACCCATGTGCACCCCCTACATGTCACCAATGCTGGCCGCATATCAGACTGGCACTGATAACAGGAAACTTAATGTTATCAGCAATCAGCTTTTTTTGGCCAATAATGTCACCAGTAAATACCATGTGCATGTGTGCAGCTCCAACATGCACATGGCCAGGAATGCAGCCTGGCAGTTTAGAGAGCAGCGTCCGGCCAGTAAGTCTGTCGGGGGGAAAGGAGCATGGAGGGGGCAGTTTGAGGCCCCCATGGTGGGGAGGGATTGGGGCAGGTGTGGCC